CAGTAAACATCAGCCCTAAAAAAAAATCTTTATCCATTTAAAAACAAAAAGTTAGGATTAAGGAAAAACGAAGCTCAACGGGCCGAAAGGCTAAGAAATGCCATTGCTGTTGCACGGGAGAGAAGAAAAAACAACTGGTTTTCATTTTGTAAATAAACCAGTTTGTTTGCCCACACTTTGAGGCAAATTTGTGTCCCTCCCCACCCCAGGCGCGGGGCGCCAAGCGGGGAGGGCGACTCGGGGCGACAGGGAGGGTTCTGAGCTCCCGCGCCGTGTCTTTGCAGTCCCCGTGAAGCACTGCCCTCCCGAAGCCCCCGCCTCGGCGGGCGCGCGGCGCGGGGTCTGCAGGCGACACCTGGGCCGCCCGCGGGGCTCACCTGCCGGCGGGGACAAGGGCGGGCGCAAGAACGGGGGCTCCGGGGCCCCTGCGCACATTAGGACGCGGGAATCGGGAACCAGCCAGCCCCGCGCGACTTCCTCACGCACTTCCTGCTCCGACGTCACGGAGCACGGGGGCCGTGGCCGGCTCTTAAAGGGGCCGCGCCTGCGTCAGTCCTGCTGCGCTAGCCGCACATGCGCCCGGGCTGCCCCGCAGGTGGCTGCCGAGGTGGCGCGGGCGGCGGGGGTCCCGCGTGGCTGCGGGACAGTCTGGTGGGAACCAGGCAGACTGTGCTCACCGAGAGACAAGAACAGCCCTAAAATGAGTCCTAATGCGCGCGCGCGCGTTGTCTTCGGATGAGTGGCTCGGCCTGGAGCGGTCTCTGGGACCGGGGCTGGGGATGGCCTCACCCCGGCCGTCCTGGGGGCCTCCCACGCTTTTAACCGGGTGGAAGGTCCCGCGCCCCCGCCAGGACTGATTTAGGGACCGTTTCCCTTGCCTCCTGTGGACGCTCTCCTGGTCCCTGGGCGCCTTGGCTCAGCGTGGAGAAGGATAAATCTGTGAACTAAAATAAAATCTTAAGGCTCACCCCCCCTCACGAGCTGACTAGGGAACCCCTCCTGGCCGAGGGAATACCCTAAAACTAAATTGCCTGCCAGGAGGAAGGAGGTCAGACAGGCCTTATCATGCCCCCCACCCTTCTTGGGAATGTCCTTTGTAACCCATTAGCAGGCCTAAGGCTGTGCAAGACACGTCTGCAGGTCCTCACTTTACACAGCAGATGCACGTCCAGTGGCTTATCTCTGATCAACAGCTCCTGCGTTGAAACATTCCAAGCCTTTAGACAAAGCTTCATGTCTTTAACCAATTGCAAGTCAAAGAATCTTTAAACCCACCTATAACCTGTAAGCCCCTGCTTCCAGATATCCCAACTTTTCAGGCCAAACCAATGTATGCCTCCCACGTATTGATTTATGACTTTACCTGTAAGCCCTGTCTCCCTGAAATGTTAAAACCAAACTGTAACCCAGCCACACCGAGTCCACTTGCTCAAGGCTTCTTGGGCGTGGTTCCAGGTCATGATCCTCAAATTTGGCTCAGAGTAAATCTCTTTAAAATTATTTTACAGAGTTTGGCTTTTTTTTCCGTTGACAAATCACAGCTGGCCCTCCAGAAGTGACAGCCCCCCACGCCTGTAAAGAAAAGAAAAGAAATCCAGTAATGTAAAACTAAACTGAAGTTTCAGCCCCAGTGAGTGGGGAAATTGTGAGATATGCTCTAATCCCTGAAGTTAATTGTTCACCTCCTACCTACTTGGCGTTATGCCTTTTATTATTGAGTTTCTGAGGTCTCGGGCATTATATTAGCAGATAAAGGAGGTATGTGTTAGTGTATTTTACTCAACCAGGAAAAAAGTATTAAAGGAAACCCGAAGACGATCATAATCGCTCACACATATAGAGTTGCTTACAGAGTGCCAGGCACTGCCCTAAACTCTGTCCTTAGATTTCCTTATGCAATACTCCGGGCAACCCCACAAATTGAAGAATACCGTGTTGTTTTATCCCATTTTGCAAATGGGGAAACTGAAGCACAGAGAGGAAAACCCTTTACCCTAAAATGACAGACCTGCTAAGCAGTTGAGCTGATGCTCAAACCCTAGCAGCTGGTTCCTGCATCCACATTCTTAGCATGCAGTTTACAAGAAGCATATTAAGAAGTTCAGAAGGAGGCAAACTGGAATTTGTTTTTTGTTTTTGTTTTTGTTTTTGTTTGAGACAGAGTCTCATTCTGTTGCCTGGGCCAGAGTGCCGTGGCGTCAGCCTAGCTCACAGCAACCTCAGACTCCTGGGCTCAAGCGATCCTCCTGCCTCAGCCTCCCAAGTAGCTGGGACTACAGGTGCACCACCACACCTGGATAATATTTCCACTTTTAGTAGAGACGGGGTCTTGCTCTTGCTCAGGCTGGTCTCGAACTCCTGAGCTCAAGGGATCCTGCCGCCTCAGCCTCCCAAAGTGCTGGGATTACAGGCGTGACCCACCTTGCCTGGCCTGTTTAATAAATAAATTTTTAAAACACAACATTTACTGAGCACCTATATGTGCTGGGCACTATGGAGAGTCTATTTCCTGCATGATGTCATTTTCTCTGAAATCCTGTCATCTCTGAAAATCACTGTCCCTGAGAAACCTGTTGAGACATCCACTGGTATGCCCAAGGTTTACTCTGCGCTTCCGTAATTTAAAAGTTCACATTTTGCTCGGCTCAAAATAACTTGGTTTTCAGCTGAACATAAATCTCTCTGATAAGATCACATGTTAATAGGGTTTTTGTTGTTGTTTTTTAATTAATGATGGCCCAGGAAGGGGCCTCTGGATTTCATCATGTTCCAAGTTATTTATTATCTTAAGCCCCGTTTTCCCTCCAGATAAGACATGTCCAGACCACTGCCTGCATCTGGTCTCTGTCCTTCTCTGGAGATGTGAGCAGACTGTTTACAAAAGATATTTTCAGATACAGCAGAAAAACGTTCCTTTCCTCTTCCTGCGTTGAGGCCGAGTGTGCTACTTAGCTGTGCTGTAGATCAAGGAACGCCGAGCAACAGGGTGCCGAGCACGGCTCCAGGTGTCAGGGACCCCAGAGGATCCAGGCAATGAAACTCCAGTCACAGGCACCTGGAATCTTCCTGGGTTTGTAAGACCCGCAGAGAGCCATCGAGCAGGGGCGCAAGGACCGGGCAGTATAAAATCTAGCACTAACTTGTCCTGCAGTACGGAACCAGGGATGAGGATAAACTTTTTGAACATCATTAATTCTAAAACACAACCTAGTGCCCAGAGTAAGTCAGAGATAACTATCCTCTTACTCCGTCGTTCTGTGTCCCCCATTGATTAAACTCTGCTCTCACCTAATAGCAGCCAAGCAAAGCAGCAGGGAGCTATTTGAATGAGGAAAGACTTGTTTCTGCCCCATCTGGGAGCTGAGTCATAGAAGGAGAAGACAGCTTGAAAGATAAGTAGGCAATAAAACAGACCACTCAGGGCGGGGAGGATTTCTCCAGCCGCCCCCCCCAACCTCGGCCCCCAGAGAGTCGGCTCTGCTTCAGGGATTTCGGCAACTCTTCCTTTGTCCTTCCAATTTTGTTTTCTCCCAGCCCTGCAGGGAGAGGACTCTGCGGGTCAGGACTTGCTCCCTCAACAAACAAAAGCTCCTCTGCCAGAGAAGTTGGACAAACTAGTTTAGTTGAAGTCCATCTTTGTTCTAGGGGGTTGCAGGGAGAAGGGGGTGGGCTGGTGGAGGCCGTGCAATGCAGAGCTGGCTGCAGAGGAGGAAGGAGAGAAAATGCGGCCGTCTGTCTCTGTGACTCGACCTGGGCCAGTGGTGAGACTTCAGGAGGAGCAGGGGCCGCCAGACCATCGCGCCTGGTACTTGGGCGGAAAGGATTTGAGGCTCTGAGTCACTCTCCCCAGAGGAATGAGAGCCTGGGGGAGGAAATCACTTTACAAGTGCCCTTTGCTTTTACACACACACACACACACACACACACACACACACACACACACACACACACACACAGGTTTGTATTCCAGTAAATTCAAATTAAACAGGAAGAAGTCGCTGAAGGGCAGCCGTCCTCCCCAGGGCTGGGTGACGGGAAGGTCGGGATGGGGCTGGGTGTTTCCCAGGTCACCTTAGTTCTGAGCTCCTGCCTTGGCTCCTTAGGAGCAAAGCTTTTGTTCACCGCCATATCCCCAATGCCTGGTACATCACCGGTGCTCAGTAAGAGTTTTACCACGTGGATGAGGGAATGGGCTGGCACAGAGACTGTCGATACTGCACTCTTTAGCACTGGGTTTGATACCTGGTCTCTGGAGTCTGAGAGATGTGGGTTCCGATCCTGGCTCTGCCTTTTCTTGGCTTTGTGAACTCAAGAAGTTTACTGAACCTCACTGAGCCTCAGTTTTCTCTTCTGTGAAATGGGGATAAATACAGCCTCCTCATGGTTATATGGTATAAGTGAGATAATACATACACAAGTGGACAGGCTGTTGCTTATCAAACCCTCTTTGAATAGGAGTTATTAATGCTGTTTTTTTTAATGCAGTAAACCAAAAGTCAGCTGAGCTCCCTATCCTTTGTGATTCAAGAGAAACAAGCTCAAGGCTCCAAGCCCACCCCCTTGCAGCACGAGGCCCCCGCCCTTTCACCGCCCCGTCTCCCCAGGAGCTCGGTGTCAGACGAGGTGGTGAGTGAAGGCCGGTGAGGCATGTGGGATGTTTCTTGGTTGCCTCTGACTCTGACCTCCTGCTTTGGCTAAATTCTCCTCCCCACTCCGACTGGTCACTTTGCCACTGTACTCTGTTCTAATCGTCCATAGCACTTGTCACTAATTCGATATAATATTTATTTATAGTTTACTGCCTGCCCGCCTCCCCCATCCTGGCAGCTCCCCGCCAGCGTTTTGTGCCCTGTCCAAGCATCACCTCACACCAGCCACAGCCAAGGGTAGCCACAGCAGCAAGCATGTATCGGCCACACACTGGGTGCTCTGTAATGATCCATCGGGGATTTGATCAGTTTACGGATCATTTTGCCTTCCTGGTCTTGTCGACCCTGTTCCTTACCCAGACACGGGAATCAGTCCCTTGCCTTGATTTTGTCCAGTGATCCGTTCCTAGAAGAACTTGCTGTTTGACAGACTTCACCAAAGGTTTGGAGAGGTGGAAGGATTTACATAATAGTGTGGCAAACAATTTGAAAGTAAACGTCAGGGCGGGGCAGTGGCTCACACCTGTGATCCGAGCACTCCCGGAGGCTGAGGCGGGAGGATGGCTTGAGGCCAGGAGTTCAGCGATCATCCTGAGCAAGAGCAAGACCCCTCTACAAAAAGTAGAAGTAATTAGCCAGCCGTAGCGGCACTTGTCTGCTGTCTCAGCCACTCAAGAAGCAGAAGAATTACTTGAGCCCAGAAGTCGGAGGCTGCAGGGAGCTATGATGACGCCACTACATTCCAGCTGGAGCGACAGAGCAAGACTCTGTCTCAAAAAAAAGAAAAGTTAAAATCAGACAACTTCCCTTCCAA